CCCCTTCTTGTTGGTCACTGTGTCCGTCTTGTCTCCCTTCTGTTTCCTTTTGTCCCCCTTCTTGTTTCCCTTCTTGTTGGTCATTGTGTGTGTCTCCCTGTGTCTCCGGTCTTGTCTCCCTTCTTCCGTACCTTTTTGTCTCCCTTGTTGTCCCCCTTCTTGTTGGTCATTGTGTCCACCTTGTCTCCCTTCTGCCTCTTTGTCTCCGGTCTTGTCTCCCTTCTTGTGTCCACCTTGTCTCCCTTCTGCCTCTTTGTCTCCGGTCTTGTCTCCCTTCTTGTGTCCACCTTGTCTCCCTTCTGCCTCTTTGTCTCCGGTCTTGTCTCCCTTCTTGTTGGTCATTGTGTCCGTCTTGTCTCCCTTTTGTTTTCTTTTGTCTTCCTTCTTGTTGATGTCTCAAAAAGTGGACTTGGGAATGCTTTGTTGTTGTCCCACCTGTTTGGGGTCTACGGTGGTGTAATTTTTGAAGCATTTGCGCAATTAGTCTGCCCCCGAATGAAAGGCGCATTCACCAGTAGTTTCTGAACCCGGGCCAGTTTCTGGGGCCACCCCTTGGTCAAAGCACAATACCACTTTCACTACATTTATCCCTACACCGGGTACTAGGGTGGAGGCCATCGCTACTCGGGTGGTACTCAGGGCAGATGGGCCCCATGTCCCGCCCGGCTTTCTTAGCGCCTTGACTGAAAAGCCCTTGGCAAATGCAAAGATCGCCGTCGACCACGTGCTGCCCGACATAGCAACCACTTGATCCACCTGACGAATCTCCAAATCTGCAGAGTAAAAATCAGAAGAATATTTAAAAAGAAACTGACTCCAAACCAATCAAGACATATTCGATTGGCCAAGAATTGAATTTCAAGCCTCCGTCCGAAACATGTTCGTTTAGGGTTGGCGCTACCTGATGCTCTTGCTGCTTGACAGCACATATGCATCCACATGTGTTACATATTCAAACAGTGTGCACTGACATTATGTCATGATTGTCATGTCCCAAAAGCACCTCCTTCAGCAAATCCATCGAGTGCATGGCTCTTAATTGTCCAGTTGTCCCACACATGGCACGGGTGCCTCCACCACCCATAGTTAGCACATTCTTTTTTGCTCGAATCTTGAAAAACGACGACCGGATCAAATTCACTGGAAAGATGCGGAAGCGCACAGAGTCAGGATCACTCTCTGAGTCCTGGAGGGCACGTCCCACGACAACATTCTGCACAATTCCAACATTAAACAATCATCCCCGTCTGTGCTTCACATGAAGAGCGTTTTTAGTCGTTCTTCTATCCTTTGTTTCTAATTGCGATGGCCTCCAACCTAGTAGCGATGGCCTCCATTGACAAAAAGTAATGGTCATAAATCCCAAATCAAAGTTCTAAACGTCTGGAGAGTTCAGGTTGGTTTCTTGCAGCGCCTTGTCTAAATGGGCGTCCGCTTCTCGTGTCAACTGCAGCAACTCGTTGTCATCACTGCAGGTTGGACAGGTTTCACTGGCGGCAACCGCATATGGAAGCCAAACCGCAAAAACCGCAGCTGCGAGAGTCGGAGCCATCTGGGCTGGTGCGAGACTCTGAACGTTTGAGCGTAAAGCTGAAAGGAATGCGAGTGTAGGACGTTCTCTCGCAAATGTTGCAATTGCAACCCATTTGTGATAGGGAAATGCTAGTAGGGAGGGGCGGAGCGGGCTTAAACAAACGGTGAGGTGAAACGCAATGCGCAGTGACTCCTGTCATCATGTGATACTGTGACTGTTTTGTGTTACCTTGTTGCAATCCCTAGTAGCGATGGCCTCCAACCCAGTAGCGATTGCCTCCAACCTAAGAGCGATGGCCTCCACCAGTAGCAATGGCCTCCACCCCAATTTTGTGTTAATTACCTTGTTGCAATCAAATGTTGTCGTCTGGGTTCTGGCCAAACAGGGCCTTGCCCGCTTACCAGCTGTCGTGAAACTTTAACAGAATTCAACTGCCAAGCTTAAGTGTCCCAAAAAAATCTAGAAACAAGAAGCTACTAGGGGCTCCTGGCCTTACTACTAGGAGCAAGGACGCTACTAGGGGCTCCTGGCCGTACTACTAGGAACAAGAAGCCATTAGGAACAGTTCTTCATTAGTGCGAGCGCTTCTTCAAGGAAGCTTCCCCCGCCGCCTTTAGGGCGGCGAGGGGAGCTTCCTTGAAGAAACGTGAGCTATCCTGCGTCCTACGTAGTAGAGTTCTTGAAGCTACCAGCTACCGACTCCCTAGCTACTACTAGCTCTATGGCCCCCTTTAACAAGAATAGTATTTCCCAAAAATATCCACTGGTCAATCCGATTCCCAAAGTGTGACCAGGAGGCTACGGTCCCGCCCACATCACACATCACACATCACAAGCGTAGATGTTGTTTTGTGCCCACATGTAGCATGTTGAGCCCCCCCCAATGATCTAGGAACCAAAACAATCATGCGAAGAGTTGGCTTCCTTGAAGAAGCCTGAGCTAGCTTCTTACTGCAAGCTCGCCTCACGGCTGCGGATATAGGATCCTTTGGTCCAGCATGAAGTTCGTAGAAATTGGAGCGAGGCCAAAGTGGCCAAGGCGCTTCGGGGCGCCAATCCATGATCTCCGGCAGCCCCTGCCATTCTCCCACATCTTCATCAGCGACGTCATTTAGCCAAACAAAGAGACGTCATTCAGCGTATCAGCAAGACCGACGATTGAAGACAAACTCTCCAACCTACTAGCTTCTCTTCTGACTTCCTAATGACAGAAGGCACAAAGCGCACTGTCTGCCAGTGTCGCAAAACCGCAGGCAGCGACACTCAAGACAAAATTCCTTTGACTTCCACTTCTCCCCTGTTGTCTTCCCATGTTCATTCATTTGTTTCAGCTTCTCCAGTGGTTTCTTTGGACACATCTCCTTGGCTTTGTCACTCTGTCTGTCTCTCTCTCTCTCTCTCTCCCCCACTGTCAGGCGACAAAGCGGGATCTAGAGAAGAGACACCGGACGAGAGAAGTGGGAGACACACAACATGAGAAATCTTTTTGCCCGAGAGACACAAAACAAGTGGATCAAAGAAGACAAAGCTTTTGGTCTTTTGGCTCCACACTTGAGGAAAAAGGACGATCAATGTCACTACATACAAAACTTCGGGCTCCAAAAAATGTACAACCAAACATGGGCATGTGTGCTGTGTGTGTCTCTTGTCACAGTCTTCGTGTTTTCGCATCCTTTCAGGATTCTTTGGCCACGGTTGGGTGAAACAGAGTAGAGCTCGGAGTCTGAAAACAGCGGTTGTAAGTTGTGAGAAAGCAACCGCGTAATGGCCTCTCTAACCTTGTAGAATAAGGAATCTAATAGCAATGGCCTCCAGCCTAATAGCTTCTTGTCACTAGTAGTAAGGCCAGGAGCTACTAGTAGCGTCCTTGATCCTAGTAGCGATGCCCTTTGCTCCTAGTAGCTTCTTGTTACTACTAGCGATGCACCTGTTACTAATAGCAAAATGTGAACCGCTGTTTGGTACCAGATCTGAACTCTGCTTGTTGTTCGCTCTCAAAGATCCACAGCTGCCTGGCACGAAGTGTGAACTCTCAAAGTTGTAAAATTCAGACTGTGAACCTGAATGAACATTTGAAAAAAAAGACTGAAGTGTTTGTTGTCCTCCTTTCTTTAGGCTTCTTCTTCTTCTATCGTTCTTTTCCTTTTTCCTTTTGAACAGTCTCACGGAAGATCCACAAAGGCTCTGGAAGGACCGTGGCGTATGGATATGCTGCTGGAGCTGGAGGCTTCCTTCGCAGAATGTTGACAGTCAACACCGGTTGTGCGCTGCCGATTCCAAAGGAAGGTAAACAGAATAACAACGGTAGAAAAAAAAAACAAAGGAAGGTGGACGTGGGTCCCAAAAGCAACAGGTCCCGTTTAAAAGGAGCCTTCCTGTATCAGAAATAGTCTCAAGTCTCGTGGCATGCTGTATCTTCATCGGCCTTGGCATAGAAATGGAGGGCTCTGACTGGCTCACTGCACCAGCAGCATTGCTGTGATACCACCCACAAGCCTCACACTGTCAAGACCTAATATCGATGGCCTCCAACCTTGAAGCGATGTTGCAAATTTGCAAATCCAAGACAATTGGCACCTTGGCCTTCGACAGACTGCTAGCTCTGGAGAATGGATCGAGCTTGTCAAATTTGGACCTTGAATGCTTTCAGTTTCAGACGCTTCAAGTGGTGTAAGCATCAAACTTGGCACGCTCAAACGGTTGGGATCAACGCCAAATGGTTTGAGGAAGCTTGGCCTGACAGGAATTCATTAAGGTCTTATATATTCTAGCAAAAGTTATAGACTAGTCTAGTTAAAGTGTCAAGAGAAGAACGAAGGCTACGACGCCAGGCTGGTTAGACTAGGCTTCTTCAATGGGCCGAAAAATGGTTTCTCCTTCGTGTCCTTGAAGAAGCCAATCGTTTCAATCTATTTCGTCCGTAAATCGCTAAGCAAAAAGCTAATGTTTAAGCTAGCTATGAAAGATCAAGAGATCTAGCTAAGACTGCTGAGAAGCTGTCACAGACTGACTATACCTCTTAGCTATACCTCTTTCTACTAGCGGCCCGTTCTTTCACACCAACCTCAACGGCCAAAGTTCTGACCTCTTCCTTTTCTAAGCGATCCTGGGTGAAGTGCGCTTCGAGCAACGCGACGCTTAGCATGTGTGTGTTTCGGGGAGAAGTTGAAATGGAACGCCTTCCCGTTTCCGTTTGGTTTCCCGTTCTGTATGTTCTATTGAGCTCTCATGGTTAGCTTTCTGTCAGCAGAACAGTTACAGGGTTTGATCTACAATTCGTGTAGCTTAAACAACAAATGGGCAGGGAAATGTAGACCAAAGATGATCTTTCATATTGAAAGAAATCATGAGAGATGTCCTTGTTACTCACCTACTAGGCACTGATTCCACAACTTGCAGGATCCCAGGGTTCCCCAAGTCCTTCAGGTCACGCAAGAGTCTAGCCAGGGCCTTTCTGTGCAGATTTCGTGCCTAACACATGCAGCAAAGCACAAAATTGAGAGCGTGCAGCTGTGTTGAGTGTTGCAACTGCAGCTGTTTGCATTTGGAGAAACTTGCAACACTGTCATATGTATTCTAAAATCTTGCAAAGTTCTATTTTCAGAGCTGATGTTGCACATGTTCCGCCTCGCGACACCAATCTTCAGATGTTTCTTGAGGCCTTGGGATTTGCATGGTTTCCCTTGCCCTCGCGGGACAAAACAAATGTTGTTCCTAGTAGCTTCTTGCCCCTAGTAGTACGGCCAGGAGCCCCGAGTAGCGTCCTTGCTCCTAGTAGCGATGCCAGGAGCCCCTAGTAGCGAACATTGCTACTACTAGTAAGGCACTTGTTACTAGAAGCGATGCACAAACGTGTTTGTTTCTGCAAACGTGTTTTGTTTCCTGTTTTCTCGCCACGGAGACACGTGGAACATTCTGGCCAAAAAACCTAGTTTTCGAGAGTGGGTGTGCTCAAGAGCAAACACACGGTGAACATAATCATAACAAAATCGGGAAAAGTTGAACAACTGTTCCAAAAACCTGGGCGATGTGCGATTGCTTAACATTTGCGCCTGCATCAAAAAGACTTCCGGCCATCTGTTCAATGGTGTTTGCCTGTAACTTTGAAGCTCGCAACATCATCCTATGGCCATGGAAGAGGGCGATGGCAACTTTGGAATTGACTATATTTTTGAGCCCCGCTTGTTCAGTGATCACTTGGAATCAAAGCTGTGGACCCCATCGCAGCCTCACTCAAACATTATATTGAGATAGAGTTGGATGTCCAGCCCGTCACCATGTCTTGGGATCAGATCTTTCAAACCTTCCCTGAAAAGGGGTATCATGACCTTCCCCCACGATGCGAAAAAGCTCCTAGTAGCGTCCTTGCTCCTAGTAGCGATGCCCTTACATCATGACCTTCCCCCACGATTTGGATTCAAGTCTTCTCCAAAAGCAACGCGGCCCTGCTCGTTCTCGACAAAAACTACGGTGAGCTCGTTGCATTCACAGGGTGGTGAAAGAAAAAAACATTCAAATCAACAGCAATAGCTTTTACGAACAAAGCGCAAACGCACTAAATGTTGGCATCGGCTCTTAGGCAAAAGGGCCAAGCGAGGACATTCAAGAATTTGCAGCTGATTTACCACTAAGAAACTCAGCCCTTGCAAGCAAAAGAACCTTATCCAACGCTGCGAGTTTCGGCAAAACACACCTAGAGAGAACTACAGGCTTTCAAAAGATACTAATGAGACAATGATTGATTCGTGCGAAGCCAAACTAAAGGATTTGGTATGACGGCTGAAATCTTTGTTGTGGGGCCGGGTCTGTTGGAAACCATTGACCTGTTTAACATAGTAGATTAAATCTAAATGAACAAAGCCAAAAAACCTTACCCAAAGCACCAAGGCGAGCACAGAGAATACGGAAATCAAAGGTCCCAGCATCGCCGGAGTGCGGCCACGCAATTTCGTGAGCGGTTTTGGATGGTCTGCCTTTGCCGGAACCAGAGGACGCTACTAGGGGCTCCTGGCCTTACTACTAGGAAC